CTTTGAAATTGTATGTTTTATGATGATCGGAAAAAATTTGATTTTTATAAAAATGATTTTTTTTTCACACGATTTTTGCGTGAGCCGGTTTGAGCTAATTGACAAGCGTATTTACTCTCGGAAACTAATTTTATAGTGGTTTTAGACGTTTCTAAATCGATTGACACTTGCCAACTTGACGTTTTAACTGTCAAAATATGAAATCGGCGGGGTGGGTCAACTTACAAAGTGGGTCAACCTACACATACTCCCCCTACCATTTCGACCTTTATTTTATTGCCTAATTTCCGTGTCGAGATGTTGAGAAGCATTATTGTGTTTTGCATTTTATGCATCTTCGCAAACGCATTCTTTTCTTATGTATTTAGTTGAAACTATTTTCTTCAATAGTCCAACCCAAAAAATAATGTTTTCAATAATATTTCATTTGATTGGTTAGAACTATTTTTGAGTGAGAAAATATCAAAGAAATATTCGAGCATGTTAGTCTTAGAATTAGTAAATTCATTGTAGTTTGTCATCAGAAGTCATTGAGACAACTTCCTAAATGTATCAGCTAATATTTTTGTATTTTCCTGAATAAATCCTTATAAAAACACAGTTCAACGAATATTTCTATACTTCAACATTTAAACATAAAAATATTATCTCTTGATCGCAGTCATACAATTATTAGCAGATACAAGCTATATATCGTTATCTTTTCACCAAGTTTCTTCATTGCATCTGCCAACATTTTCCGAACAGCATTAATTTGAGTGTCAGTGTCACCATTCTGTTTATTTTTTTCAATTTGTGTCGTTTGTTTTGCTTTCAATTGTTCAATGGCTTTTTTGAGGTTATCCAATTGACCATTAAGGTTATCCAATTCAGCGGATAGGCGTGAGATTTCATCGGTTTTGTTCCTGATCTCCGTTTTCAATGTGCCATTCTGTTTTTTCATCTCAACAAAATAATTCTTGCACGTTGCGCATGTAATTGCTATCGCTGATGATATGGAGAAGTATATTTTCAATCGTTGTATAGTGTGCTTAGCATTTTCGGCTACCGGTTGTCCGCGATCATCGAACAGGCTGAATCTAGTGAATAGTCTCTTTCTGGCTTCACATTTACTGAGGCGTTGAATGTAGCAATTCTCATGGCAAGAAAAACATTGCATTCACCATCAAAATCCGATCCCGTGCATTTACTGGCATCACAGTTATGTATTTCGGCAGACATGATTTCAACTCAGAAGAAAAAAAAAACATCAACAAAATAAAGCGGTGAATGTATAGTTGTATGTTTGTGTTTTTTTCACGATTGATTGTGACTTTCTTTTAAAAAAAATTCACTGAACTTCAATGTTTTCTGAGAAATATTCCTCCAATTTTTCTATTTCAATCAAGAAATTTCAGAAAACTTGTCGATAAAAACACAAAAAATATTTAAATTTAATTTAATAATGTGCAGCAATGAAAGTATACTTGTTATGACTTTGACAGCTAACGTCTTCCATTCAATAACACAAGTACAAATACTGTAAAACAGAGAGTAGCTGACTATTTTAAGAGAAACAGAATTTGGAGAGAGTAAAGTCAAATAGAATGAATTATCCCATTGTAAATATTGTAAATATAACAAGATTTATTTATGCTAAATAAACCACCTCTGGCGAAGAAACGCTGTATGGTGCAGAATAATAATAATATTTTTTGACGTAGTGTTTGCGTAGAAAAAACACATATTTCACATACCTCCCATACAAAAGTACCAAAAATACGATATCAGCAAGCAAAAAGTGTATATTCCATCAAAAAAGACTAAAATCGATTGTTTGAGGCGATATGCATGATTCGCCAGGTCCCAATCATAGTTTTATGCACATTTTTGAATCAGAATTTTTTTTCCTCATGATTCTGCGACAAATTGGCTATTTGCCCCCCAAATTGAATGATAGAATCGTCATAGCGTTACTCAAAATGATATCAGTCATTTTGAGTGGTAGATCCACGCACAGCAAGCGTCACTATATTCAGGTTTTTCATCTGATTAGATTTCCCTAAAGAAATAATTCCAGAAAAATTCAAAAACAGTACTCATATTGAAAAACGTGTAAATGTCTAGTTTAGAAATGAAATTTTTAGTCATTCTGGCCTACTTTGTGGATCAAATTTGTCTATTGTTATACCCAAAATGTATATTTCACGAATCCTATTGGATTCATTTTTCCTACAAAAACTAAAATATTAAACCAATAATAATATATAATATTAGTAATCACGAACAAAAAACTGTTCCTTTACAGAACGTTGACCTGTGTAAACCAATTGATAAGAAACTATACAAAGGTACCAGTCCAAGTTGTCACGACTTTAATGGAACAACTGCTGTAAACGATTGCGCGCCTCTTTTGGTTGGATTTAGTACGGGACAAATTCAGTTAGTGCAGCCTGGAAAAAGAGAAACAGGGCGTTTGTATAATGAAGAAGTAAATTTTTTCACGTTGCATTGCAATGCATTTTGATTTTACAAAACTTGTTTTTTTCCATGCTTTTCAGAGACTTATCGACAAAACAAAAGTAACCTGTCTGAAATGGTTACCCAAATCTCCTCATTTATTTTTGGCATCACATTCTTCTGGTCATTTGTATTTGTACAATGAGGAACTGCCATGTAGTCCAACTGCACCCAACTATCAAAACTTCAAATCTGGTGACGGTTTTACGATTTTAACGTGCAAATCCAAATCTTCAAGGAATCCCTTATACAAATGGGTTTTTAATACAGAAAATTCTAGTATCAATGAATTTTGTTTTTCACCATGTGGTTCAATGTTGGCCATTGTGTCTCAAGATGGGTTCCTACGTGTATTTTCATACGAGACAATGGAGCTAATAGGAATAGCACGATCTTATTTTGGCGGATTTTTATGTGTTTGTTGGAGCCCCGATGGAAAGTACATCGTAGTCGGCGGTGAAGATGATTTAGTTACTGTTTGGTCTGTGAATGAACGCCGCGTTGTGGCGCGAGGGCAAGGGCATCGCAGTTGGGTATCCGTTGTTGCTTTTGATCCATACACCTCATATTCACATTGTGATACATCTGACTTTTCCGATGATGAAAACACAATAGAT